TTGCTACAATGAGATAGCTGACTTCATCTAACTTTGTGATGTCAACTAACTTTAATGTGCATGATCTTTTTGTCATGCGATTTTAAAGCCGGTCCTACAAGTGCATCCAAGAATAACATGCAGCTTATCTCAGAATTGTTGGTGAAAATTATTCCTGGAGCTAAGTTTAATTGAGCTGCATTTTATAGAGGTGCAATTTCACAATTTGTGTATATTTTCTAAGTTCACTATTTTGTCATGTGTTGAGAAAAACACAGATTTAAAAATCACATGGTCTAATATTTACATTTAGCATAACTGCAACATGCTTCTTTTTTTTTAAAGACTCGAAAGGACTTGAAATTCAAAGTTTCAGACTTGTGACTTGACTCTGACTTGAGGATAAAGACTTGAGACTTGCAAAACAATGACTTGGTCCCACCTCTGCTAATTAGTGTTGAGAAACTGGTTTATTAATCATCTAAACTTCAGCCAAAATGAGCCATGCTGGCTGAATTTTCAGAGAGCTTCAGAAAAAAACACCAGGCAGATTTTAATGAACTGAAGCAACGCTGTGAAAAATAAGCGGATAAAAACCCTCCACGACGATGTGAGGGAGTCGCAGTGTTTGATGCTGTAAGCTGCTGAATCACGAGGAAGGTTGAAGGAGAAACGATCACACTGTGTGATGTCTCGACTGTCAGGGATGGAAATGACAGACGAGGAAGATGTCAGATAAATTTCACAGGAAGGAACTTAAATGTAAAACTTGGATAAACAAGGTAAAAAGGTTTTTTTAACGAGTCACTGGATATAAATGCTGTTTTATTTCATATTGTAAATCGTGTGTCATTCATAAGAACATAAACAAAGGCAGGTTCAGCTGGGTTGTAGTAAGTAAGTGTGTTAAGCTGATTCATTGAGTATCTAATACAAGAATAAGAGGAAAAAGCACTTCCTGTCTCACTTTGAACTCATTGTCTCGATCTTTGGGGCCTTTGTGGAAGGGCCGGTCGTAACGGAAGCGGCGAACGTTGTTCACTCGATAGAAGCTCTTAATGCG